CCAATATTTTTCCATGATTTATAAAAATTGGAGTAATGCAAATGCATATTTTCTAAAAAAAAGTCAGTTTTTAGTGAATTTTTGCCGGGAATGGGGCTTTAAGTTAATTGTTGTGGACGTTAAAACAGAAAACAAAATGAACTTGCAGTCAGGGCTGGAAAAAGTGCACGGTCGGAGGCATCATGAATTTCCAGCAGGCATTTTGGAGGAAAAAATCAGAAAAATAAACTATTGGGCTATAGTTTACAGATTAATATTGGAGAACATTGTAGTTTTTCAATTAGCAAATCATTTATGAAGATTAACAATTGACAGTAATGGATATGTTACCATGTACTGTACAGCAAAGGCATTAAATGGATACATAACCTAGAAAGGTATACTGTAAATACTTACCATCTCTGAATTTATCATGATGCAATAAAAAAAAAACAAACAAACAAAACTTGAATAAATTATAAATTGAATTAATTCATAATGAAATAATAGTACATGGAGTGAACTGATAGTGTAGTTATCTGATAATCAATCAGAGGAAACATGTGTTGTGTTAGAATAATAATAAATTATTATTTTACCCTGGCAATTTCAATGTAATTTTAAATAAACAAATGATAATAGCGATTTACTGAATACTGAATGCAGTTGATAAAACCATAAAACATACAGTTTAGTGTAAAAATGTGAAGGTGTCTCTAAATATGTCATGTTAAATTCAGTATGCGGTCCAACATAGTGATAATTTCTGTTCTGCTATGCATTGTGTGTCTACTTCCCACTTTCAGGCAAGTACTGTAGACAACCTTGCTATCATATCTCCCTATATAGTAAGTGGTAAGAGGAAATCTGGTTGGAGGCATGATCGGATACATCATAATCTAAAGATATAAAAGGTTTTCCAAAAGTACTGCAAGCCTAGAGAATATGATGCCCCGCATATACCTGTCATAGAAAGAACAATCTGTTACTTGTACAGTATAGTTATTCATGTGAATTGCCAACACAGAAAGTGTGGATGGGTTATGAGTTAAAAGTAGGCAACAACAAAAAAACACTATATCGAGCAGCATACACACACTCGCTGGGAGCCTTTCTGTTTTTTTAAGAGTTCTTGATGATACTTAAATTTATAGTTACGTACAAATGACCAGATTAAAGTGAAGTTAAGTACTTACAGTACATCACCCAGGATAGTTGTCCGTTCTTTGAATGGCTTTGTGGAGCAGCTTTTCGGCTCAGACCAGACGAGTGTGGACATGGTGCTATTGAATGTAGTAACACTGTGTTTTTTTAACTGTCATGTACTACTCTACTGATTAATTATACAACCTACCAGTGTTTTGTTAATTACTGTACAAACCTACATGACCTAAATCTGGTCATTTGTACGTAACTATAAATCATTCCTGATGATGGCATAGTTAATGTCAAAATATTGAATCCCGACACGATGGCGTGAATTTCGATCATTGGAGTATGTATTATACTATTGTCCAAGTCTACCGTATTTGATTAAACTGTATAATATTGTCAGTGATGGTGTTGGGCTGTACTTACAGTGTCTATTGAACTTTATGTCAAAGTCTGTTTTGCGTTCGCTAATCCATGGTCACTGTATGGTGGATTCATGTTTGTGGTCAGTTTAGCAAAGGCTATGTATGATAGAAAATTTTCGCAAATTAAAGAATTTGTTGACTATGGTTCTCTATGCACAAAATGATGATTGACATATTTTGGCTGGTAGTGAGTTTTAGAAATGATCAGCTTGAAAATGTGCAAGTCCAACAGAGAGTTGCTGTTCAAGGTATGCCACTAAATAGAAGGGTGGTTGTAGATAGATAAATAAACAATTTGCATAGTCATAAGACATAAGAAAGATTATAATTAATTAACAGTATTTAGTAAAACACCCTGTGGGCTGCAAGTGTACATTAAGTTTGGAAAACAATTGCATTAAATGAGTGTTGTACTCTACTCAGTAATTAATTGAATTGTAATTATAAACTATGGAATTAACAGCATGTCAATTGTCATAATAATTGAATGACATTAGAGAGCACAGTTGTTTAAATTACAAAATATTCTTCCAATAAATTTTCCTATATAAATAAATACATGTTATTAATTTGTTTAACTATATTTGCTATTTTGAATATTTCATTTTGTCTCTTCTTAGTTCATTTCTTTCCAAAATATTTAATAAGAATACCACCAACAGGAATGGTGTGTTTCTATTGATAATTGAGAAAAAAAAACCACATTATGGTCAACAGAATGCTTTTTAAGTTAACGGAACGTACTCAGAGCTTTTATTTAGCCACCATATCCATGGTGGCTAAAGAGAAAATACGAATAATTAATCTTATTTTCAACTTTTAAAAAAAGATTTTATCACATTAAAACTATCATTGCTTATTTTTTTATTCTTATAAAGGATCGTGTATCTGCATTTATATTCAAATTTCACAGCAAGAAATTTCCTTTGCAGACATTGAGAATTAGAAACATGCTTATGACGTGTTGCACATTAGTCATGGAAATGGAAGAGCACAGAAAAGTACTAAAAAACACAGTAAATCTATCTATGGTCTACTGCACAGAACCTCACATCTGAGTACTTTATATTGTGTACTGTAGTTGCAGATTCCTTTTTCAAGATATTTGTGCACAAGTTGGATTTAATTTTTTTTTTTTTTTAATCAAAAGTTTCCTATTCAGACAGTCATGCTTGTTGTTTTCGGTACACAGCCTCTGACATTTTTCATTGCATAAACCCATATAGGAATAAATAACCGTATACTGTAGTGGGGTTACTAATGTAGCCCACTCTACAGTACACTTACATGAAATCATTTCTTAAATTACCAAAAAAAAAATGATAAGACAACAGTTTCTATATTGATTTCTAGTTAGAAACACACACTTTGTGTGCAGTAGGTGGTATGGTATTGTATTCTTATTACATTTTTTTGGGAAGACGAAGGGACAAATACAATTGTTTACTGTTGGGTACGAATGTAGGACATAAACCACCCAGGACATAAACCACCCAGGACATAAACCACCCAATTGGAATATACCATTGTTAAAGTGGGTGGGCAACAGGGTGAACAATGTTGGGTGGTCTTGCTTATTTTTATTATTATTATTATTAAATAAAAGTACTAAATTTAAACAAATTAGTATACTAAATATTAGACAAATACCATTATTGTAGTAAAGTATACTCTATTAAAGTACATTAATGGAGTATTTAATTTTGTTAATGAATGAATAACCTGTTCAATAAAATATTTTAGCTTGTAATTATTATTATAGAAATGAGTCCTATTGAAATACTGTATAATACTGGTTTTGCTGCGATTCAATAACATAAAATGATAAAATGGTAAAATCTTAGTGATGGATACATTTACATTCAAATTATTATCTTAGTTATATAATATAAATTCTGTAAATGTAAATTAATGATAATTATTAAGAATTCAAGACAT